CCCTAATAACTCCAATGATGGAGATTCTACAGTTTTTTCAAGCTTTCCGTGTAGGTCATGTTTTCTAGACTTTTAATGATTTTAATTACCCTCCTTTGGACTTCCTCCAATTTGTCCATACCTTTCCCAAAGTGTCGTGCCCAGAACTGGACACAATACTGTTGAGGTCTTATCAGCATTGAGTAGAGTGGAAGAATTAATTCTCCTTGCTTGCTTACAACACTCCTGCTTGTACAAAAGGAAAAAAACAAAAGAATGTTTGATTCTTTTGCAACAGTGTTACACTGTTGACTCATATTTATTTTGTGATCCACTAAAACACCCAGATCCTTTTCTGAAGTACGCCTTCCTAGGCAGTCATTTCCCATTTTGTATTTGTGCAATTGATTATTTCTTCCTGAGTAATAATGAAAACAATAAGTTGATTATCAAAGATTCAAGAGATAATGAATAAGGATAATGGAAACACAGGGCTACACATAAAACAAAACCATAACATGCTTTCTAGCGACTAAACTTAACAGGCTAACATTCTAGCTAAAGATGTCTTTTCTCTCCCAAAGTCTTTCTACAGCATTTCTTACTAAGGCTGGTTGAGTTCGCGCCGGGCCTGTTTATTTCCTAGGTGCAGGATAAGGGGGTATCTTCTTTGCCTTCTACTTCTATCCCCAAAAATCATTGTCTGCACTCAGAGACAGTATAACTCCCTGGGGGTTGTTTTTCCTGTGTGCTGCTGCCCTGTTGATTTCACATCTCTCTATTAACATTGTATGTAAATGATGCCCACTGTGTTACCTTACAAAGCTTAATTTACAGCTCAACAAAGACAGGTGAATAAAACTCATTTGTTTGACAGAAAACCTGTTTGTCAACTCTGCCTTAATACAGACCTTAAAACATGTTTTCATTATATAAACGTAACTCTTTACTCTATACATACATTTCACAATGCTATTAATAACCAATGTGACTCCAGCTTTCATTTAAGACCTCACATGACATTCTTTGGTGAACCAGAATATAAATACCATAATCAGGACAGTCCAATAAACCCCCTTGCCAGTTGGCATTAAGAGTTTCTTGGGTCACAATTGCATAAAAGATTACAATTTCTCAAAGAGAACAAAAATGACTATATCAGCAGCTCTCCAAGGCCAGGCAGTGGAGCACTGGTGTTCAGCTGAGCGCTATCTCGTGGTCTGCAGAAAACTGGCTGACTTTGTGGAGATGCCTCTTTTCCTTGTTTCCATGTGTTAAATCACACAAAGAGAGTTAAACTTTAGAGCTGGTTGAAATCTTTTGTTTCTGTGGAAAATTTTAACAATAAATAACCCCCCCCCAAATTTTCCATTCAAAGTTTTTATTTCCCCCCCAGAAATTTGAAAACCAAAATATTCAAGCTGGAAATCTTGCTGCCTCATGGGAGTTGTAGTTCAGGTGCCTCAAACTCCCATTCTCTTCTATTGGCTGGACTTCCTGATCAGACGGCATCTCCCATGATGCATCATGGTCTCCTCTCTATGAGAGGTTTGGTGGTTTTTCATGGGAATCCCTGGCCATGATCCATTATGAGATGTAGTCTAGCTGGAGAGCCCGCCTCATAGAGGAGAATGGGTATATGAAGCAACTGGACAACAACTGCCGTAAAGCAACAACTCCATGGCAGCATTTCTACATCAAAATATTTCAGGTTTTGGGTGAAATATTTTTATTTTGGGGTGTTTAATTTTTCAATGAAAAATCAACTTTTTTAGATAATATTTGTTTAATCAAACACGAATTTTTCTGTCAAAAAACAGATGATTGTTTTCAGCCAACCCTGCTAAGATTACCTTATAGTCTTTCCAATATTATTTTTCAAAATAAACCATTTTTGATGTGCCAGAGAGATGATAACAGCTGGGAGGATGGGTCCATGCAATTATGAATGAGATGGGAGCTGTTCCATGCAACAACCTTTCTATTAAGTTGTGCTCTGTACTATGCAAAAGATTGAGAATCCACTGATGTTTACTATTGATTTCAGTCAGCAATGTTCTTAGAAACACCCCCTGATGAGGTAAGAAGGACTGAAGCTAATGTGGCTGTCTGGCAGATTGAAGTTATTTTTAAAGTTTCAGCCATATGACCTCTGGTTATGTGAGGTCACATGAGGTAGTGGAAGAGGAGATGGATCTATGGTAGCAGTAGCCTGGACAGGTATCAGTTGTATCTACCCCCACAGCCCCATGTGTGTAATGCATGTGTGGACACACAAAAGTGCACAGCCAACTTAGGGGTGCTGAATATCATTCACTTGACGTAGAAGAAAGGATGCTAAACTATCACAGAATTTGTGTTAGATTAGTACAGTGATTCTGATTTCAGTGGAACTTGTGAGCGTGTTTCTGATGAGCACTCTCTCAATCTATTTGGAAAACCTGGTTGGGTGGAACTGAGGAAATGGTGACATAACTGAGCATCTGTCAATGGATTCCAAATGTGCTGTTTCCTGTACTCCTAGAACAATGAGGAAAGTGAGGGGAAATCCAAATAAATGTTGTGTGACAGGGAAAGGAGAGGAAGCCTGAAACAATACCCAGGACACCATCGAGAATGGAACTACCACTTCCCACAGTGTTCAGGGGCAAAAAATACTGGAGGGGGCTCTAGATTAGACTCTTCTAAAGTTGGCCAGCAGCCACATTACCTTAGGCTGTGATCTTATCATATGTTAGAACTATGTCATATTAAGCCTGTCAGTACTTAGATGGGAGACCTCAAAGCAAAAGCTACGATGGTGCAGGAAATGTAGTTGGTGATATAATAGGAAGTCACTCTTCCCTCTGATTGAGTGAAGTCACTGCCCTTATGCTGCCTTCTACTGCTGCAGGTGTTATTTTTTGGAAGAGATGTGAAACCAAGGACCAGATCACTAGTGGCTATTAAGGGTGTCCCTGGAGTAGGAATGTTAGGTCTGGTGTCTTGGCCAAATTCCACGTTATGTAATGCTATTTTGCCTGAAGATGAAGGGATGGATCACTTGATGATTACCTGTTTCGTTCATTCCCTCTGGGGCACCTGGCATTGGCCACTGTCGGAAGACAAGATACTGGACTAGATGGGCCTTTGGTCTGACCCAGTATGGCTGTTCTTATGCTTTAAGATTTCTTTTGATAAAAGTCTACTTCCTGTCCTAATGTGTTGGGTAGAGTTTGATGTGTAGTTAAACACCTGCCACTTTCCATGTTTATGGGTACGGTAGGTAAAGTGGTTTGTAAAGCACTTTGGGATTTCTGAGGGTGAAAGGGGCTAAACTAAATGTAAAAATATTAGTATTTAGTATTAGATATTTTCTGCCGATGGGGGTCCCACTCAGTACTTGGATCTTCCATCGCATTATTAGTAAAACCCATCTAGGGTTGGGTACGACTTTGAGACCTTGTTAGGACAGCACAGTCCTATGTATCTGCATGTGCACACCATGACTGGAAAAAAAACAAATCCTAAAGTCAATGGGCATTTTGTCTGAGTAAAGATTGAATTAAGACAGAAGTTTCTGCCTGCCTGGCTGAATGTGGAAGTGAACCCTTTGACTGGATCTCAGCTTCTAGGCAGCTAATTGAAACTATGTTCCTGGGAAGTTGGGAAAGGGGAGGGGAGGGCAAGAAAAGAAGCAATTTATCTATATTATTAGTGCCACCCAAATAATGAAATGAGTTGGAAAACAGAGTCAGTCTTTCAATGATTTATTTACCATGAAACAAACACTACTCATGACTAAGACTACGTTTTAGTCACAGGTATTTTAGTAACAGTCATGGACAGGTCACAGGCAGTAAACAAAAATTCATGGCCCGTGACCTGTTCATGACTTGTACTATATACCCCTGACTAAATCTTGGGAGTGCCGCGGGTGCTTGTGGGGGTGTATGGGTGCCTGGGGGGCCCGCAGATGTTGGGGGGGGCAGTCCGGGGGGGCTCAGCAAATGCTGGGGGAGTGGTCTGGGGGGCACTGAGGGTGCTTGGGTGGGAGCAACCCAGTATCCCCACTTGTGCTGGGGCAGGGGGGCAGGGAGTTGGCAGGACTGGCAGGCTCCCTACCTGGCTTCTTGGAAGCGGTGATATGTCCCTCCCTAAGCTTGTAGCTCTGTGTGCTGCCAGTTCCACAGCTCCCATTGGCCAGGAACTGCAGCCAGTGGGAGATGTGGGGCGGTGCCTGCGGGAGGAGGCAGCGCATGGAGCTAGGAGCTGAGGGAGGAACATGTTGCCACTTCCAGGGAGGCCCCGTCCCCAGGTAAGCACCACCCAGAGCCCTCACCCCCTCCCATGCCCCACCCCACAGCCCTGAGCCCTCTCCCACACCCAAACGCCTCCTGCTGCTGTTGGGAGTGAGGGGGGCGGTGGCCCGAGACTGCCCCAGCAGTGGCCAGTGCAACTGGTCCAGGGGTTGCCTGAGATGCTCGGGCAGCCCCGGAGCCAGGCGCACTGGCCACTGCAAAAGTCATGGAGGTCATGGAAAGTCACGGAATCCACGACTTCCATGACCTCTGTGACAAACTTGCAGCCTTACTCATGATGAATATTGAAAAGAAAGGGAGAAGCTGTGACCAGTCTGGCTGGTCTCTTCTAGCTGATCTCCTGTGCTCTCTGGGCTGAATTGCATGTTGCTGTGGGTCCAGGGCTGTCCTTAGCTGGCCAGGAGTTAGTTGTGGGGTATTGCATTGCTAGAGCAATGTTAGAGATCACACAATACGTCTGCACTCACACCAAGATAAAACACTTTCGCTCACATGCAATCCACAGGGCCATTTTCATGCATTCAGAGACATGCGCAAACAGCACTCATGTACTCACACAAGTGGAGATGTGCACAGACTTGTACACCCATTACTTATATGGTATGGATATGCTGGACTGATGCTTGAGATCACATACGCATACAATACACCTGCCCTTCACTCCTCCCACACCAAATATACACAACACTGCTAGCACTGGGTCTTTATTTACAGTGTCTGGTAGCCAGAAAGGCAGCAGGGACCCAGCACTGGGGTATGGATGTGGTAGAATATCAGAGATCACACACATACAGAAATACATATACACTGACACAAAATAGCTTCATATTCCTTTCATTGAATCAGCGTCGCATCAGAGTCGTTAGTCATGTGTGGCGATCATTCTCGGATGTGAGATGCTCTCAGCGACAACTGCTTGTGGTTTTTTAAAGTACATAAAACCACATGTTCCAAGAACATGGGAGGGGAATAAAACAAGGACAAAACTTCAAACTTTGCTACTCTGGCTTGGCTTTTTCCCCCCTCAAGAGTTTCCTCAGTGCTTCATACATTTAAATCCTCCTCTTTAAGTCATTTTTTTTCATCCCTGCACTGAGATTCTGAAGTTCCTCGTGTATAGCTCGTTCTGCATGTGGGACTGAAAATGTACCTAGACCTAAGCCTTTTTCCTACTAATCTAAAGCTAGCTTCCAAGTCCTCTCTCCTACACCTATCTTAGATACCTATATGGCCCCCTCCACCACAGTATGTAAGCGCTTCACAATATGCAAAGTATTGAGTTCACAATACCCCTGGGGGATAAGGAAGTGCTATTGTCCCCATTTTACAGATGGGGAAAGGAGGCACAGAGGGGCCAAGTGACTTGCCCAAAGTCACACAAGAAGTCTGGGGCAGAGCAGGGTCTAAGTGCTAGGCTAGTGCCCTAACCACTGGACCACCCATCTCTTCTCCATCACTCTTTTTCATGAGTACCAATATATATTCCAACCGCAGACTCCTCCACAGCAGTTGCTAACAGTGTATTGCTGTCTCATAAGACCTGCCACCTTCACACTGATACCCCAAGACACCTAACTATTGACATCTCTACCTATCGAATCCCCTGCCACATCTTACAACTGAAACGTCCTTTTTGCATGAGGAACTGTCACTCTCCTCTACATATTTCAAGAGGCGAGTCTTCCTCTTTGGGGATTTGTTCCCACTTCCATTTTTTCCCCCTCCAATCCTGAGAGCTGTACTTGGTTTCCTGCAATCTACATGTTTTGTGCCTATTTGAATTCAGACAATTCTCTTCCTTTTTGATAGGGTGTTGCGCTGGCTGGTGAGTAAATAGGAGACTTTCCATCAGATACTAGCACTGACTTGCTTTGCCCTGCGGAATGCTTCCCTCTGGGTTGGAAGCTATTCTTTTTAACATTCTTAAACATTTTTTCTTCTTTAAATACAATTCTAAAAGCTTAAAATAACTCTATACAAATAAATAGGAAAAAATATATCACCATTTCCACTTTGTCCCACAGCATGTGGCAAAGAAAATATCTCTTTAAAAGGGATAGAATACTTGTTGGTGCATAGCCCCTGCTGAGATATTATGTGTGCTGTACTGCCATCTAGTGGACATAGTTTGTCACATCTCTGGCTACTTTAGTAGGAAATTTGTGGGTGCTAGATATATCAATAGATCTCACTCCCTTTACCTCTATGAGAAGAAGAATTCACAGGTTATTTACAACCAGGGAGCAAGACCAGGCAAGGAGTCTTTTGATCTAACTCCAGAACCATTCCTCTCTGCCATCATGGAGCAGCACCAGATAGGACGGAGCCAAGGAAATTTGGGCAGATTAGCCTTTAATCCAGCATTTACCCTACTGGTCTTCCACTAAATGTAGGCTCTGGAGTCATTCCTGTCATTTACCCTACAGACTAGATCTCCATCGTGACCTCAAATTTTAGTTCAATGCTGCAGGGAGGTAAAAGCATCAGCTCCCTTTTGGGGACATGTTTGCTGTCATATTTAAATCAGAACCTTGTAACTGGTTCTCAGCTGTGGGGATGGGTGCCACAAATACTTGTAAAAATAACAACAGTAATAAAAATAGTGAATAATCCAGCATCTCTAACCCCACTTTTAGTTTTGGCTGTTTCAGCTGGATGATCCCTGGGGTTTGACAGTGATCCTGGCACTTGAGCTGGGGTTTCTTGTGTTGGAGGAAAGTTCTGCTCTGGATTCTAAGAGTTCACAGACTTCATCCATTGCTCTGATGCAGGACTCAAGGTTTTCAGCCAGTTTCTGGATTTTCGCCTTTAGCACAGCTTGGCTCACCTTTGTGACCTCCCTCGTGTACTCTGGCACAAGAAAGTTGCGCGAACCGTAGAATACCATGAAGCAGATGGAATTGTACAGCGAGATGGAAGCGTTTTTCTCTGACTGGAGCAACAGGGGGTCCATTGGGCCCTGTCCACGGTGGAGGAATTCTAGGCAGCTCAGGATTTCCCTCATCTGGTTCTGACAGTTCACTGCGATCTCCTGCACCCTTCTCAGTTCCCTGGAGTTAGAGAGCACTAAGGAGAGATCGGAAGTGACATTGACAGCCCCTCCGGCAGAGGCTACGCCCAGGCCCACAGCAGAAGCCAGGAGAGATGCTCCTAAAGTGGCGGGGCTCAAGGAGAGCCCTACGATGGCTGTGATTGCTCCTACTGCACTCAGGGAACTCCCAGTGATGTTTGCAATCAAGGATCGCCTGCGCAGCTTGTTGATGTTTCGGGCAATCTCGCGAAGCTTCCTGATTTGGCCATGCAGCCTGCTTCTCTGATTCAGCAGCAGCGTTTGGAAGTGGCGTGTAGGGTCCAGTGCTGGAGGAAAGGTTATAACATTTCTCTCCATGGCCCTGTCAGGAAATACAAACAGATGGGCTTTACTCAGCCAGTCAGTCTTAGGAGTGTGTGTTTGAGGATTGGTTCAAGGCCCAGTCTGCTATTTCAAGGTAGTGCAGGTACCAAGGAGGTGAATCCCAGACACCTGTTCCTTGATGGAGATCCTATGGGATTTATCCTGGGTCCTTTCTGTTTAAAGGTGGTGAATACAGAGACTGATGAGGTGAAGTCTAGAGGGATAATCCCTAGGACATGGATTCTCAGTGGAGGTTAGGTTCCCCATGGGGAGTTGCAAACATGTTTCAGGAGGGTCCCGCATCCATCATCTTTTTCTTTAAGGTTAGTTGGGAGTCAGATCCTGAAACATTTTTCTATTGTCACTGTATGAAAAATGTTGAGAACCATGTTTCTAGGGTGAATTTGAATGGGAAGATAGTAAAATAAATGATCAAACAATCAATTTGTAAGCACCTAGAGGATAATAAGGTGATAAGTAATAGCCAACATGGATTTGTTAAGAACAAATCAGGCAAAACCAATTTAATTTCCTACTTTGACATGGTTACTGGCCTAGTGGATGGGGGGAAGCTGTAGACATGATATATCTTGATTTTAGTTAAGCTTTTGATACAGTCCCACATGACAGTCTTCAAATAAGTTAAGGACTGTAATAATAGGGTGACCAGACGTCCCGATTTTATCGGGACTGTCCCGATATTTGCTTGTTTGTCCCGCGTCCCGACCGATGTTCGGTCAGGACGCGGGACAAACAAGCAATTTTGCCCTCCACTCCGGCACACAGGCGGAGCTCGGAAGGGCTTGCGCCCCCCTCCGCCCCGACTCCACCCTCTCCCTCCCCCATTGGATCCCTCCCCAAATCCCCACCCTGGCCCTGCCTCTTCCCCAAGCATGCTACATTCCTCCTCCCTCCCAGGCTTGCGCTGATCAGCTGTATGGCGGCGCAAGCGCTGGAGGGAGGGGGTGACACCAGCGTGCCTAGCGCGGCCATGAAGAAGATAGGGCCAGGCCGGGGAGTTGAGGAGGACAAATTGCTAGTTTGTCCAGCGTCCCGAGCCGCGTGAAGGTGGGAGAGGCTGTGGGGCGCCCGGCCGGGCCGCCAGTGCCATGCCCAGACCCCGCGCCTGAGGGACAGAGATGCTGCCCACCGGCCCCCTCCCCTGGGGTGGCT